TACTGTCTCAAGACTCCTCTGGGATCTACAGAAAATCTCCAGCAGATCTCAGAGCACCAGCAGCAAAGCAGAGCGGCACATAGAAAGTTCTGTGTATATCTTGCTTGAAAGATTGATAGCACTTTCTGTCCAGCATAATAGGAAGGACTAATGCCAGTGGTTAACGCCAGCATAACTTAATTCCTGCAAGTATCTCCCAACATGGAGTTTTCTTTGTTTCCCCACTCGCATTCACTCATTATCAATGTGCAAACACAAGTTTAAAAGGTGCCAGTGGCACACAGACAGCTGGTGTGACTGAACCCCCCGCTTCCCAAAAGATGGATCCAAGTGTTTGCTTTGATGGATGAGCTTTTGTTTTCATTCATGGGGAATTTCCACTCCAAACCATAAGGCTGTCAGTCGTCTGCTTGTGTGATAAAACCAAGTTTGCACCCCACAACACTGGTACGTTGTTGGCAGCCCCACTGCTGGTCTCGTGGTGGTCTTGGGCAGTGGTGTTTCAGGCTGTCCCCATGCCAGGGCTGTCCTGCCCATCAGCAGGCTCATCTTTTAGCCTTAATTTGTACATCTCATCTTCCAAAACATCTTTACAGCCTCTGAATCCCTCAGGGTGATTTGAAGTCCAAGCAGCCTCCTGCCCAGATGGCTAATATCAGCAGCTCTCCCCTGCGCCCTCGTGTAAAGCATCAGCATCATTCTCCTTGGGTTTATTTATTTGATCTTCTTTTAATTCTTTTTAAACCAAAAAGAAAGAAGGAACTTTCCTGTCCATTTCCTGGAGCAGCTCATTTGGTTTTTACTGCTGTACTTTGCTTCCATTTGGATAGAAGGGAAAAGATAAATGGATAAAGAGGATAGGGAGGGACCCGAAGGAGAGCTGACATGGGATGTCATCCTTCCTGCATGATGCCGTATGGCTGGAATGAGTGTCTCAGAGGTGAACGTCATGAAACATAAGGAATATATAGTGCAGCTGAAGTGGCAGCACTGGAGAGAAAGTGTTTACTCTGGGTTCTGGGTACTACTATCAAGAAAGCCATCTGCTGAGCACACCAATACAGTAGGTTTTCTGCACTCGCTTGGTAATGGAGCACGTTCATGGAAATTTATTGGGGTTTTGCTGCCTTCTCCATATTGTTTTTAGTGTGAGCTGCAAAGCTCAGCCCTAGGAGGTGGGACAGTTCCAGAGCCCATATAGTGTCTGAATCACAGCCACAACACAACCCCCTAATGGGGTTTTTCCACTTTTTTCCCCCATCTCTCTTAAAAAAAAAGTGAAGACAAGACACTGAGCTGCTCTGAACAAGCATTATTCCTCACAGGTGCTTCTTCAAGCTTTCTTGGTAGCATCCCTCACCAACCCATATGGCCTCTCCCATCTGCTCTGCCATCTCTTTCATGTGCCCTGGCAGCTTCCACTGCCTCCCCAGAGTCACCATCTCGTTCATCCCCACCTCCCCACTCCTGCTTCTCAAGGTCCCTGTGCAGCCCTTGGGGCCAGCACATCCTCAGGCATCCCCATCTCCCTTGCATGGCCATTAGGAGTTTCACCCTAGGGCCTTGCTTTGCTCCTCTTGAAGTCACTCCTGTTAACCCACCTGTGAGCTGGGGGGCAAAGTTACAGGTTGGTGTTAATAGGCACAGATTTACCCTCTGGCAGCCTGGGAATAACCAAAATTCTGGCACAAGAGGGACGTGGAGCTGCTGGAGCGAGGCCAGAGGAGGCCCCGGAGCTGCTGCGAGGGCTGGAGCAGCTCTGCTCTGGAGCCAGGCTGAGAGAGCTGGGCTGGGGCAGCTGGAGAAGAGAAGGCTCCTGAAAGGGACACCTTAGAGCAGCTCCAGGGCCTAAAGGGGCTCCAGGAGACCTGGAGAGGGGCTTTTGATAAGAGCAAGTGGAAGGTGTCCCTGCCCGTGGCAGGGGTTGGAACTGGATGACCTTTAAGGTCCCTTCCAACCCAAACCATTCTAGGATTCTATGTTTCTATGTAAACACCAGTGATTCGATATGGCAGGTATACAGCAGAGACTACATATTACTATTCTATTACTGGTTTATTGTATTACAGCAGTTTATGTACTTGTGGCTGTATCTAGAGTGCTCCTGGTTGAGATTTCGTTCAGTCCACAGATAATTTCATACAAGATTGATCCAGAGTTTCACAAAGCTTGTGCTTGGCTTTCCTGCCCCAGCACTTCATCCCCATGGCATCGGCAGTGGGTTACACGTATCTCAGTGCTTTCATAGGGGTACACAAAAGGAGGTGAAGAGGTGTATCTGTTTGTGGTGTGTTTATCTACAGGAATTCAAATAAGGGTAAGAAAATGCCATGTATATACTGCCTGCATTTTTCCCGAGCGTTTCTTTGTGGTTACTGTCTGCTCGTGCGG